CCCCTTCAAGGCTGAAGCATTTTATTATCAGTTTTTCCATCCTGTTCCAGACTCCAAAAAGGCTTTGTCCTAAACCTGAGTTCACCTTGAATACTAAAGATCCACAGCCAGATCACTCCATGATGGCATTACCACCAAAGTAGGAACAATCATGTTTTAAGATGCACAGGCTAAAATAATGATGACTAGGGCAAAAAGTAAGAAGCAGTAAGCACCCACAATTCCTTACAGAATCTTTCGGTTTCTTAGCTTAGTCAGTGTGGTCAGAAACAGATGGACAAATTCTCCAACAAAAGGTCATGAAGATTATATTCAAGGAGCTCAGAGAATCTAGTTCTGGGACACTACAATCTTTAAAGCATGAACGGCTAACAATTATCAGGTAACGAAACAAAGCATCCTAACACCAAAAAAATAACAAAAGCAAGGGAGAGAGGAGAAGCAAACTAAAAGAAAAATTAGAAAAACAAATGAAAGAAAACCCATGCTGGTGAAAAATTACTAGTCTTAAGTCTTTAAAAGAAGGAAATACTGTATTCATGGAGGAGGTGTATGAGGCCCAACAAGATGCACTAGAACGATAAAATTTGGAAAACAAAGTTATGACAGAAGAAATAATTCAGTAGGATGATAGAGGAAGAGGCTGAAGGGACCTCTCTAAAATGAGCAAAACAGAAATAGAAATCAGAGAAACTGTGGACTGGAAGGATAGCATATCAGTAGCAGAGGTCCAAGAAGAAAGAACAAAAGGAAAGGAGAAATTCAAACAGCAATTCTGAAACAGACACTTAGAAAAAGATGCCTTTACTAAAATGGGCTCCTCATGGGTCCACAAACTAAGAGCACGATGAAAGACTAACATCTCCACCTGTGTTCTGTGTCTATCTCCTTTGCTTTAGCTCAGATTCCTGCTTGAATCTGCTAATCTAATCTATCTTATCCCTCCCTATCAGACTGAGGGAAATGATAAGTCATTCTCCTAAACCTACAATCACCCTGGATTTCAAAAGGAGTGTTACAGTGCAGGACAGACAAACCCCTCACCTATAAGATAAAGGCAATTACCCATGAGGGTGAGGCTGTACCGTGAAACTGAAGCAATCATCTTGTAGGAACCTGAGTGGTCCTCTCAGAAAATGAGAATGGATTAATGGATGAAAGATTTATCCAACCACCAGTAGAACAACATCTGAAACAATGATGGGCAGGACCACACCTTAATCAGAACTGCTTAATCAGACTACCTCTTGCCCTCTAATTAAACCTAACCATCATGTCAGCACCCATAAGTCAAGACTCAGGGACCACTGGACTCCTTTATCTGTTCTTCCACGGCAGGTACAATGACTAGATCTCTTCTCTGCTTTTCACCATTACTCATCTCTTTAACTGGACTTCTGCCCTAAAAATTCCAGTTACAATTCCAGAAAATTCCCAGAAGAGAAAGAAAGCTACAGGTTGCTAGACTGAAAAGACCAACAACAGAAGTTAAGTCTAGAAATAAGGAAATGGAACAACATTTAAATTTTTCCAATGCAGAATTATATATCCAAAGTGTCAGTTTAAAAAAGAATTAAGGAAGCTGGGTGCCAGGGGGAATGCCCTTAGTCTCAGCACTCAGAAGGCAGAGGCAGGCAGGTCTCTGTGAGTTCAAGGCCGGCCTGGTCTACATAGTGAGTTCCAGGCCAGCTGGGGCTACAGGGAAACCGTGTCTCAAAAGGGCCAAAAAATAAATAAATAAAAATAAAAAGTAAACAATCAAACTAGTTAGAACAAACAAGTTTCTGTAGCGAATGGTATGACCGGCATTCCAACATTCATTTACAGCACATTCCCCAATTTGTATCATTGATTTGAGAGGATTACAACTTCTAATAATCCCAGTGATTATATTATTTCAGAAATGTGCCCATTAACTGTAGCCTAACCACAATCAACTTACAGATGAACATCATAGTACAAAGATCTTCTCCCTGCTATGGAATATGAACAAAGAAGCAGGTATTATAAACTGCTACCATAAGGGGAATTATTTTCTTAGCCCATAGAAGAGAACAAAAGAAACAAATGGGAAGTATTTGGATCCTTCTAGACTTGAAACTGCCTAGAACACAATCCATATGAACTTCCAATTATGTAAGGTAATGAATATCTTTATTGTACATGGTGCAATAAAAGCAGAATGAAGTCTTTGACATCTATATCTAAATCATCAGATTCAATAAACATTCAATAAACATCTAAGTCTTTGACAATCTTGTGCAATCAGTATACCAAACTACTTTATGAGGCCATTTAATTGTGACTAATCTGGAGTGTATGTTTTCAAAATATTTAATAATATTTGTTATTTGATTTCATATTCAGTATCAGCGTTGGGGAACTCTTAAGGAAATCATAATGTCATCCAAAGTAATTAAAATAAAAAGCTTATTGTGGGGGCTGGAGGGATGGCTAGACAGTTAGGAGCACTGGCTGTTCTTGTAGAAGACTCGGGTTCAATTTCCAGCACCCACATGGTGGCTAACAACTGTCTGTAACTCCAGTTCCAGAGGAATCCAACGCCCTCTTCTGACCTCTGTAGGCTTTGCAGGACATGGATGTACTTACATACATGCAGGCGCCAACAACACAGTGGACAGTAACAGGGATGACAGTATATGGGCTCCAGTGGGGTAGGGGGAGGCTATGGGAGAGTGCCATTTGGGAAGTGGGTATATAGATGAATAAGATTATTTGGGATGTTTTGTATGATATACACACAAAAAAAGACCCAAATTTTTTAAAAAGACATATTTGAGGAGGAAACATAAAATTTTACTTCATGTTAATTAGTAGAGGTGATAAACATTACCATTGAAATCTACCTGATGACTTTATATCCATACTCAGGTGCCAAGGATCCGAGTGTAACTGACTGTGACTAGTAATCATCAGATACATAGAGATTAAGGACAGATGTGCAAACATGTAAGTGTTAGTCGCATTAGACATGTAGGAAACAGCATATTGTAAAATGA